ATTGACAAACATTAATTATAGTTTCAAGTATCATAGTGGTGATAGACATTTCATCAATATTTTCTTCAAATAATATGTCATGGACTGTTTCTCTAACATCTCCAGGTATAGTTATGGATCTTTCTCCATTTATATGATATTCAACATCAGAAGTTTTTGGTTCAACATTTTGACCTGTAGCTARAATTTTGCTACGTTTTAATGTTGTTACAAAACAGCATCTAGCTGAATAAAAATGACATCAAATAAATAAAAAGTAAATGCAAAATATTATAAAATTAACAAAACATTTATTTATTTATTACCTTTAATATCTTCAGCGACATTGTCAATCGATTCATCAGAAGATAATTGTCCTATATCAATGCGAGTTTTGATTTGATTTTCTACAGCTTGTCCTGCTAATGGCATTGTTTGCCATAGACGTAGAATGGGTACTCCTTCACAGACTGGTATAAGAATAGCTTCTTTGTATCCTACATCGAGAACTAGACCAGTAGAAATTCCAAGTGTAAATAAAGAAGCACAATGTGATGGGACAAAACATAGAGATGTAACCTGCATTAAAATATCATATTTTATCATGTCGTTTCGTTATAAATTATAAAACCTTACTTCATAAGTAATGAATAACACTTTAGCAAGTATTTCCTTAAATATTGTTGGTGATAATAATGATTCAACAATTATTACTTTTTTATCTTTWGGTGCCACAAGTGCATATCTAGAAATTAAAAATAATTTTGTCTTGCTTCTGGTTTATAATAGATTGGTATCATTAAAATGTATAAATTGATTTTACTTGTAAAATAACATATGTATGAAATTTGTTAAAGCTAACGTAAGTGTTTGTACATCTTTACATTTATATATGTCAGGTATAGGTGTACCATCTATTTCACAAAGAGTAGGAATAATACATCTAGGTGAATGTTCAGTAGCAAATCCAAATCTGAAAATGACAAAATGCATGAAATATGTAGGTACTTATTTAGATTATGTGAACAATGAATACTATTCACAAGGATGGGAAACAAGAATTTAAGTAAAATTATTATGCGTGTAATGCTGAGTTTTAAAAAATTATATGACCATCATGTAAGTGCATATGAAACACAGAGATTTTGATTAAATTCCGAATCAATTTACACTCACTTTGTGTACTTGGTTCCAATATCGATGACGATACATTGTTTTTCGGGTAAAAAGTCCGATTCAATTTTCATTGTTATAGCGAACACAATGATATTATTCTAATTGAAAAATAAATGTAATTTGTATCGCATAAACAGACTGAATAAGTCTTGGAATTTCTGTGTTGTTAAAATTTTTATGTGAACTAGAATATTGAAARAGTTGGAACTACAAACAAAAAGTTCAAACTTGACAACTTGTAAGTTGGTCTATGCCTCTATAGCAGCTCTATGCCCGCTTAAGCTTAATGCAAATTGTGTTCGCGAATCGTGATAGTGATAAAAATTAAAAACATTATCGTCATTATCGTTCTGTTATCACGTAAATTTTAATATTTTTGTTTACTAGTGATAGCGCGACGGCGCTGCAAGGAGACAGTGTGGCCTGCACACGAGATTCACGAATTAATTGCATGGTGTAACTGGCTGCAATGGACCGTTTGCCGGCACGCGCCGACGCATCGTAGTTGCCACGATGCGTCGGCTCGCGACGTCGATCTTGCCGTACAATAATAATAATAATATGATGATGATATACATTATACATATATGTGTTAGCCGTTCAGTGGGTTTACCGTACACATTCTAGGATTCTTCAGTATCAATTAACTATGGAAAAMAACGCCGGCCACGTCATTCCGCCATAGCCGCGGTCGTGTTATCTCGTCGCGTATTGCATTTTCAGTACAAATGATCCTCTACAGATATTATTATTACTATTATAATACTCGTCGACAGTTTTAAAGAGGCTTCCGAWATTCGGGTACACGTTACAACAAATTGTTATATCCGTTAAATCAGAAACACATCTTGTTTGTTTCCCATCCCTTTCCGCAATCGACCGTTTTTAGCGTCCAAAATTCTCGTTTTCTGAGAAGAAACCGACCGTCCCGAGTCGGCGTCTACCGGTCCCACCAACTACGAGGGATAGTCACGAACACACCATTCACGATTCGTCACCGTTCTAGATTTTTGAGACGGTTACCACCGCCGTCAGCAAGTAACCAAAATGAATATATTTCGACTTTGCGGTGACCTGTCACATCTGCTGGCCATCCTACTATTGCTCGTCAAGATATGGAAGACCCGATCCTGTGCCGGTAACGTAACGCGATAATGTTGTTAATCGATAATAAATTAGACACTTGTCGTCCATCCATCGTGACCACAATTGTACATTTTTCAACACAAAGTGTAAAAAATCAAAACACGTCGATAWCTTTGTGACTTAACATCAACGATATGGTGTAAAGATATCTGTGTACATTTTCCCAATGGATTGTGTTAATTTATTTTCAACTGTAAAACAATAATATATGCGTGCAGCGCTTCCCTGACTAGTGGCATGCACGAGTCTGGGTGTGCAGCATCTGGGTCCAGAGCCTTTGCCTAAGTTTGCAGCCACCAATGACCGACATAAATGGTACATGTACTATCTATATAAGATCCGAGGGATGATACGAAAGAGTTTTGTGTATTGTCTTCGATATTCTTATTACAAATAAAATATATGTATAATATTGTTTTGTACCTATAAGATATCTACGAGATAGCACRCATTTGTGACTATTAATATAGGTGTAGCTAACGACTCTAACGTATAAGCCTTTAGCATCAAAGGCATGCGGAGGTCAGCGATTGGAGCGTAGTGAATAGGATATAAAATTAATCCAATCATAAAAGTGTTTTCACTCGTCTCTTCTTAGAAATAATTGGAAATCCATGAAAAAGGATACAATACAGTCAGCATATTAAGTTGAATTTAGACATGTAACAAGAAAGTTACCACCACTCCTAAGGACCAAATCATATATTATAAAAGAGACAGGAACAAGAGTTTGTCAGACGATTTATTAAATGTGAGRCAGATAGGGCTAAATAAGACACTTGGAGGTAGGTTGTAACACCGCTCACCTCATCATTTTAGCCATAATTGTATTTTTGTAATAAGTGAAATAAATAACATTAGAATATTTAGAATTAAATATATCAAGCGTTCATTTCTATGTTGATATATGAATTGGTGTTAGTTGGGACGCAACAATATATTAACATTAACTTAATATTTGCATCAGTTAACACACCAAGAGTTCATATTAAGTACCTATTGGTATCTAGATACTTGTTGAAATTATCATTAACATTCAAATATCTGCCTAAAGCATAAATCTCTGTTTTTTTTCTTTCTATTTTATTAAAAATACATTTTAGAGTCGGGTACCTTCTTTTTTTTTCAATTTATTATATATTTTAATTTAAAATTATGTCAATACTATTATTTATTTTCAGAAAGCATATCAAATATTTTGTTTAAAATATATGACCATGAAAGATACATTTTATCAAACTGCCTTAATAAGCTGTACCCGGGGCTGTACCTAATATGAATTGAAACATTTTATCTTCATTATTACGTGTATTATTTTAAATGGTTTGAATAAATATTAAATCTCTTTTTCAATAATAATCATATATTTAATTTCTATACATCAGAACGATTAAATGTGACGACCCGTGTTTAAATACCTATCTATCTATTAAGTTTTATTTAAAAAAAAAATTATATTTTATTAAATACATATCTATTTTCAGGTAAAATAAATATTACCCAAACTAATAATGTATTTTTTTTTTTCATTACAGGTATTTCGGGAAAATCTCAAATACTTTTTGCCATTGTTTACACGACAAGATACCTAGATTTATTCACAAGTTTTGTATCTGTATATAACAGTTTTATGAAAGTAGTGTTCCTATCAGCATCATATGGAACATTATATTTAATGTTCTTCAAATTTAAGCCAACATATGACCATAACCATGATAGCTTTAGGTATTTAATATGGCTAATTTAAATTTGCGCATTATTTTAATTTWATTTTATGATATATGCATAAAATATGAACATTTTTTTTTCAGAATTTTGTACTTAATCATACCATCGTTGTTGCTTTCATTCATCATTGTTCATGTTTACACTGTGATGGAGGTTAGTTTTTAATTATAAATATTATAATCTATGCATACAAATTAAAAATATTTTTTTATTTTAGATTTTGTGGACATATAGTATTTATTTGGAAGCAGTAGCAATTATGCCACAATTGTTTATGGTATCTAGAACTGGCGAAGCTGAAACTATTACTTCTCACTATTTGTTTGCACTGGGTTCTTATAGAGCACTGTATATATTGAATTGGATTTACCGTTATTATACAGAAGATTTTCTTGATTGGATTGTTATAATTGCTGGAATTGTGCAAACCATCTTATATTGTGACTTCTTTTATCTCTATATAACCAAAGGTAAATATAACTAATACATATTCATATTTATTATTTATATAAATCTAAATGTTATGTTTTATTTATTTTAAACTATTATTATTTCATTTTTCAGTTTTAAAAGGTAAACGACTGTCCTTACCTGTCTAAACATGGAAGGAAAACCTCAGACCAAAGTGTCAATAAAACAGACTATTTACACATTATTGTCATGTCACATGATTTTTTTTGTACATAAATAAAAATAGCTTACATTTGTTGT